AGTTTGTGTTTATTTATATAGCACATTTAAAAACAGCAAACAAGGCTGACCAAAGTGCTGAACAATACACATGATGAAGAGAAAAAAGAAAAGACAGAAAATACAAGGACAAACCACACATTCATAACAAAAACTCACAATGAGCTAAAAGCTAAAGAAAAAAAATATGTTTTAAGAGAGGATTTAAAAACAGTTAAAGATTGAGAAGCTCTGATATAAACTGGAAGGCTGTTCCAGAGCCTAGGGCCAGCAACAGCGAAGGCTCTGTCCCCTCTGTTCTTTAGCCGTGATCGGGGGACAGACAGTAGACTCTGATCACCAGACCTCAGGGATCGTGTGGGGTTGTGTGGGCAGAGTAGCTCAGACAGATAGCTTGGTGCAAAGTTATTTACAGATTTAAAAACAAATAAAAGAATTTTATACTCGATTCTGAAATGCACAGGTAGCCAGTGTAGAGATTTTAAGATAGGTGAAACATGATCAAATTTGCGTTTTCTTTTGAGGAACTTTGCAGCAGCATTCTGAGCTAGTTGGAGACGAGCAATAAAGTGTTTGGGTATGCCAAAGTAGAGAGAATTGCAATAATCCAACCGTGATGTAATGAGCGCATGAATGGCAATCTCTAGTGTTTTCTCAGAAAGGGAAGATTTAATTTTAGAGAGAAGGCGTAACTGAAAAAAGCAAGCACTAATCACCGTATTGATTTGTTTTTCAAATTTGAGGTTTGGATCCCAGAGAACGCCAAGGTTCTTGATGCAAGATGACTTTGGATCAAGATAGTTCAGATCAATGTTGCTGCTATCATAGTTGTCATGGGGGCCAAAGACTATAACCTCGGTCTTGGATTCATTCAGGAACAAAAAATTTTGAGAAAACCACATTTTTACTTCCTCTAGGCATGCAAAAAGAGATTTTAGAGCAGTCTCTTTGTTGCGTTTCAGAGGGAAATAAATTTGTGTATCATCTGCATAGCAGTGAAATAATACACCATGCTTTCTGAAAATGGAGCCAAGAGGAAGCAAATAAATGGAAAAAAGAATGGGTGCGAGGATAGACCCCTGCGGCACTCCACAGGAGAGTTGGGCTGGTGAGGAAGAATAATTACCCAGTTTGACGGAGAAAGTTCTATTTGTTAGATAAGATCTAAACCAGCTGAGGACAGTTCCCTGGATGCCCACAGAGGACTCCAGTCGGGACAGCAAAGTTTTATGATCAACTGTATCAAAGGCCGAGGTTAAGTCTAGCAGTATTAGGATCACAGAGTCACCAGCATCAGTTGCTAACAGAATATCATTAGAAACCCTTAAAAGAGCAGACTCTGTGCTGTGCAGAGGCTTAAAACCAGACTGGAAAGTTTCAAGAATTTGATTTGTGCTAAGATGAGATTGTAGTTGATTGAATACCGTTTTCTCCAGTACTTTTGTAATAAAAGGAAGGGTCGAAATAGGTCGAAAATTATTGAAATCCCTAACATCGAGTGAAGGTTTCTTGAGGAGAGGTGTAACGGTCGCTTGTTTTAGTGTATCAGGGATAGTCCCTGTGCTCAAGAATTTATTCATCAGAGACACCAAACATGTACCAACCGAATCAAAAGTTTGTTTCAAGATACGAGGAGAAAGAACATCAAGAGAGCAGAAGGAAGGTTTCAAATGGACAACAATTTCTCTGAGAGATAGAAGAGAGACAGGTTCAAAGACACTCCAAATGGGTGAAGAACAGTCCAGTTCAGGCAGGACATTAGCAGATGATTGCAACTGGGATCTGAGAGAAGTGATCTTCTCACAGAAAAACCTTGAGAAACCTTCACATAATGATACTGAAGGATTTGAAATCACAGTTATAGGAGGATTGAGAGCAGACTTTAACACAGAAAATAAGGCTTTTGAGCTATGATGATTTTTTAAAATTAAATTAGAAAAATACTTAGACTTAGCAGATTTCATAGCTTTTTGAAAAGCACTGAGGGAGTTTTTCAGCATTTCATAAGAAATTTGTAGCTTATCATTTTTCCATTTACGTTCAGCTCTTCTACAAGCTCGCCTCAGAGAGCGGATGGTATCATTGAGCCATGGTTCAGACTTAGGTTTTGACTTTTTAACTTTTAAAGGAGCAGTGTTATTTAAAACCTCAGAGCATACAGTATTAAACAGACTAAGATGTTCTTCAGCATCCACGTCAGGTAGGGGTGACTCCATGGATAGAGACAGACACAACTCATTAAAAGAGTTAGAGAATTCCTCATGGAAACAGGGTGAAAAGGAACGAGTCCATTGTGCAATAGATGAAATGTGCGATCTTGTAGGAGGAAGGGACATAGAAAACATTACAGGCATATGATCAGAGATCAGAGTCTTAAAAACCTGAACATCAGTAATGAAAACGCCATGCGAGAGTACCAGGTCCAAAGTATGTCCATGAGAATGTGTGGGATCTTTCACCCACTGAACCATATTAAAAGAGTCAATGAGATTTAAAAACTCCATTGTTAGAGGCTTTGACTGACAGCACACATGAATATTAAAATCTCCTAACAGAAGAATATTGCAGTAATTAGTTACACATTCACCCATAAAAGCAGTAAATTCACTTATAAAATCTTTCACTAAGTGAGGGGGGCGATACACTAGCGCTAACAAAACAGGATCGTCAAATTCCAGACGCAGCAGCTGTACTTCAAAGCTACTGTAGAATGTAGACGGAACAGAGTGACAGTAGCTACCAAAACTGTTTTTTAAAATTACCGCTAGACCACCTCCGCGTCCAGAAGAGCGGGGAGAGTTAAAGAATGTACAGCCTTCTGGAATCAGCTCAGCAAAAGGACTTAAATCACCAACCTTCATCCAAGTTTCTGTGATGCACATAAAGTCCAGCGCGTGGGTAGTGAAAAAGTCATTTAAAATGAACGTCTTGTTGACTAGCGACCGAGCATTAATCAGAGCCATCCTGGAAGGTGATACCGAGTCAGAGATCGCGGGAGAGAGAACTCTGTCAAAAAAACGAAGATTTTCTAGAGTAGCTCCACCACGACGAACACGGATAGGAGGGTAGCAGGGGATCGTTGAAGTAGAATCCGGGAAAATGGTCCGAAGCCAGCGAACAGGTGGATCGATCAAACGCCAACCAGCACATCGGCCAACGCCTAGAGTCCGCGTTGTCATGGAGACGAAGCTAGACGCGCCGCCGGAAAGTAGCGTCATTTTCAGTTTGACAGCAATCCCTCCGCGCTTGCCGCGTCTCCTGCGGCGCTTTCTGCGGGGAGCCACAGTAGGCCAGCTGTGCAGACATTCTGGAATATCCCAGGTAGAGTTTGGAGAACAGGATTGTGGTCCAGCCACAGAGTTTTTAGACTCTGGGTTAAATGTGGCCACAAAAGAGTCTCGAATATCCAGAAGGAACTGGCGATCATAAACCAGAAGCGAGTAGCAGTTTGATGCGGATAAAAACACACATATAGCACAGACAAGCAGAGACGTCAGACGGCATGCCACGTACACCGGCGCCATCTTTCTCCGTCGTTGGGTCGTTGAAAAGGTACAAAAAGCTATACAGTATATTCAGTGTATATATATATATATATATATATATACACACACACACACACTCAACGCCTGCGATATGTTATGGCGCCGTTTGATTCATAAACAATATTTATATTTAATATTTATATTTAAACAATATGAATGTTAGCCAGAGGAGAACTGGCCCCCGACTGAGCCTGGGTTCTCCCAAGGTTTTTTCTCCATCCAATCTGATGGAGTTTGGTTCCTTGCCACTGTCGCCTTGCTTTTGGCTTGCTTTGAGCTTGCTCAGTTGGGGTTATTTAGTGGTTAGCAATGTTGTTGATCTGTGTTGTGCTACTTTCATGTTATCACTGTGAAGCTGCTTTGATACAATCTGTATTGTGAAAAGCGCTATATAAATAAATGTGACTTGACTTGACACACACACACACACACACACACAAATACTCAACTTCACATAGCCTTCTGTCAAAACTATTGGGCAGGGAACAAATTAGAGATTCGAGACCAAAGACCGCCTGTTAGGACTTTATAAGACAAATTATATCTTGTTTAACCTTTCCATTATCTCATGTTTAACCACAGAGACGTCAGAGTCAGCGGCAAACATCAGAATAACTAGCCGAGGAAAGGCTGTTCCAGGCGGGGGACAAAAGTGTGAGCGTCTGGTGATCGCTTGGAATGGATCTCTGTCGAATTATCATAAATCTAGTAATAAACCAGATTTAAAGCTTCAAAAACTACTTTCTCAGCTGAAAAACTCTTAAAACTATATTTTGTGACACAATAAGAGTAGATTATATTTCAACTGTATATTAAAAAAAGTGACAATACTCTGTCAACCAATCACCGTTCTGCAGTGAGTCTAGCTCCACCTTTTAGTACCGTACCATTTTGCTAGGGTACCCCAACAGAAGGGTACCCATAAAGTGGTACGGTACGGTTTGGCTTGGCTTTGTGGTGCCGTTCACAACTTTTGACGGTGGAAACGCAAATTGCGTTGGAACGGTACCGTACCATCCCGCTCAGTGGAAACGAGCCAAAAATCAGTAGTGTTGCTGCATACAGCTGCAGCTACAAACGTGTCGGATAAAAATAAACGTTGGATCCTGCAGGCTATCTGGCAACCTCGAGTCAGGGAGGAGGGGTTACACCGCTCTACAGTAATTTGAAAGTGATTGCAGTACCAGTTTTGGCCACAATCTTACATGCTATTCAGAACACCATCTTTTTAATAATGATAATAATTAATTGTGACTTTACAATAAACTGCAAAAGTGTCTGCTTTCAAGTAAGACCATCCATATGCTCTAAGTGCAATGGGTTCATGAAGTTTGCCATTTCTTGGAAGTAACGCAGGTTAAAACACAAAGGAATAAATGTTGCAAGCAGCAACAAAGCAGTTGTACATATCAGGCATATTACAATTATAATCAGAAGGAAGGGTTAGTCACGAACGACGCGGAGAGCGAAAGGTGGGTGTGTGTGTTGAATATGTCGGCAGAGCCATGCGTTTGCACATTTTCACCTCCCTTCCCCCAGCTTTTCTCCTAATGATCAGAACAGCAGAGCAGCACAGCACAAAAGAGAGCCGCACACAGCATCGTCGCTGTACATGCAAGAGGTATCATAGTCTGTGAGGAAATAGTCTGTGATCTTAGTCAGCGTTCTTCGGAATTATGAATGGGAGAACACCTAAAGCCTTGGCCGATCGCTGACTTCCTAAACCGCACATCATCTGTGAAATCTACAGCAAGACAACCAGCAAACTGAAGAGATGAGAAGCAAAGGAGTGGCAACCTATAGAAGGAGGAAGAGATCGGAATGGTATGAGCAATTAAAACGTACGGGGCTGCAGGAGCAGATAAAAAACATTTTTCCTTGTCAACTGTCAAACCAGTTTGGGTTTTCAGACGCTGGTCTATTCGACGCTGTGCTGATGGGATTCATTCTTTCGAGCAATCCTGGTTAAAGAGAAGTAAGCGAAACTGATCCCTTTTTCATGTTTAGCCAGAAATTAGTCTAACGCACAATTAGCAAGTGACAACAGAAAGGCTGTAGTGTACGCTAGATCTAAAAGTATGAGAGATGAAAGAAATTAAACACCTCAGATACCTGTGGACGTATTTACAGCTGCTATTAAATTTGACAATTGCATCAAAACAATTTTCTTGTATGTGAATGCTGTTTTATGTGTATATTATGACGAGTGAAGCACAAAGCTATTTTTTACAAAAAGAAAAAGGTTAGCAATTAGAGATGCACTGCTGTATCGGCCACCGATATTTATCGGACGATTTGATCAATTTACAGCCATCTGCATATAGTGACATAAATATAGACATAAATCGATGGTTTTAGTTAATTGCGAAGGCACGGAGCTGTATAATGTCTGTTGAATAATCCAAGATTATTGCTGTGTGCATTTTACGAAAATCCGATCGGTATCCACAGCATCGGTATCGTGCCGATACTGGCCCAGAACTCTAGATCGGAAAAATATGATCCGATATCATATCCAATAGAGCCAGACCGATATATCGGTAGACCGATATTATCGGCCGTTATTAGGCATTTTCCAAACTATCGGTATCGGCAGTTATAACGGCCGATAAATTAATATTTCGAAAATGAAATAAAAACGGACGAAACACGCTTGAACCATGTCATGAGTGTTGGAGTTGTATAGTTTGTCCACCAGAGGACTCTACACCGTTCCTGTTGGCAACACTCGTTGGTCATGATACATACATTGCTTGAATAACAATTAAAAGAACATCTCCATCAGTTCTCTTAACTCAAATAAGCATGACAAAAAATAAATGAATAAATAAAATATCAGCCGATATATAGGATAATCAGATTTTAAAACCCAAAAATATTTGTATCGGTATCGGCCTTCAAGATCCTTTATCGGTCGGGCTCTAATATCCAACAATCCTTGAATATTACCAAATCCAGGGCTCAACATTAAGGCTTGTGCGCTTGTCTGGGACAAGTGGATTTTCTGTAGGACAAGTGGAAGAGAAAATGTGGTTTTAGTTGTCCGACCGGACAAGTTAAATTTCAAACAAAACAAAATGCCATGTTACTTCACGTTATGTGCCGCTCGTTACGTCTATTTTACAGATTTAATTTACCGATTTGAAACGAACACATTTTTCGCACTGCCTGTGAATGTCCTGAATGTGACTCGCAGAAACACGCGCACCAGTATAATGCGCATGCACAGACCGCTCGCCAGAAGTTCACTTTCGCGCTTGAATGAACATCACCAACACACAATTAAGCCAAAATGTCGAGTATTTTCATAACATAAGAGCAGTCTTTTGATGGACATAAAGAGTTGTGAGATCCGCATCTCTGTCGCATTTGGTTTAGAACCAAAGAAGTTGACTCATGAAACCATTTGTTTATTATATCGCAATCGCATATCAAAACCGCAATATTGACCTCAATAATCTCAATATGACATTTTCCCCAAATCGTGCAGCCCTAGATAAAATAATAAATCTTTACCCGGACAAGTGACTTGTGCATGAACAAGTGAAACATAAATTTACTTGTCCGAAGGACAAGTGCCTCAAAAAGTTAATGTCAAGCCATGAAATCCCTTGCTGCCACATCCAGTTAAGTGGTGCAGCCAGCAGATTGGGCGGTTTTGCCATCTATTTCGCAGGAAAAAATGAGTTTGGGCTTGTGGATAAAAAATTTGGCGCTCTGTATAGTTCCAGAGACGGCACTGCAAGAAAAACATAATTTATGGGTTTGGCCTTAAAAACCAGTAAATCGACATTCCATATTAATATGTGAATGTTTTCAATGTTAAAGAAAGAGGCAAACAGTCAAACAGATTTTTTTTAAACAAAAATCTGAAAATATGTCTTTTTATTTTTATTTTTTTTTGCACAGTGCCTGCAGTTCAAAATAAAATTTTGGTGTTCAACTTTGCGTTTTAAAAATATTACCATTCATTTTTCGTTATATGGGTTAAAAAGTAAAAACGAATGGACGCAAAAGCACACGGACCAATGTGTAATTTTAAAGTTTGTTAAAGGGATACTCCACTTTTTTTGGAAATAGGCTCATTTCGTAACTCGAGTTTTACCGTTTTTGAATCCATTCAGTCAATTTCTTGATATTTAGATGAATATCAGTAACCAGACAGTTTCTGGTCTCATTGACTTCCATAGTAGGAAAAAAATATATACAATGGAAGTCAATGAGACCAGAAACTGTCTGGTTACTGATATTCTTCTAAATATCAGAAAATCAGCTCAATGGATTCAAAAACGGTAAAACTCAACAGTGTAACTTTGGGGGAGTTGTAAAATAAGCCTATTTCCAAAAAAAGCGGAGTATCCCTTTAATGATTAATTTTAAACCTGTTGGTAGCTGAAGTACCCTGAAGTATTTCGTTCTTTATTTTGTGTAGTGTTTAAATAAATGGGGGGCAGTTTCCATAATCAACTGTTGTTGTGGACTAAAATGGAGAACAAATACTTCTCCATTATAGCGTTAGATGTTTTTAGGTTGCTAACTGAACAAAGTGCTTCCATTTTTTTTATTAGTATTAGTTCGAGAAAAAACAACAACAACAAAAAATATCGGATTGATATTGGTATCGGCAAATAGCCAAAGCTGCGGCATCGGTAGTGAAAAAGTGGTATCGGGACATCCCTATTTAAAGGATTAGTTCACCCAAAAAGGAAAATATCCATAATTATAACTTAAGGTCACTTCCACCATGAAGAACTAGACTCACGTACAGCCATTACCAAGAGTCTGCAATTATAAATATGTATTTTTCCTTACAAAAACGCATCGTGGGGGGTTAATAAAGAAGGCCTTTATTAAACCCTGGATATGCAAGGATTACTTTTATGATAATTGATAGATTTTGAAGCCAAAAAAACATCTGTGCATCTAAGTTACCATTCACTTACATACTAAAGAAAATCATTTACACCTAAGATGGCTTGAAGACAAATAAATTATCAATCATTTTAAATTTTGGGTGAACTAACCCTTTAGAGCCCTTTTATTTTTATTTCTTTCTATAAATGTATAAATATGTGGCCTGCGCATTTGCAGGTTCCAAGCTGGTGTGAGGTTAAACGAGAATGTTACAAATTACAAATATGCATTCACACAGATGCACGCAGACTTTATATTTAAATAGTCAATTTGTGGTTTAATATGCAGTCATTAGTCCATATTACGACTTGAGTGTACAGACCTAATTTTGATTCTTTCAAAATATGCCAAATTCCATAACATTCCATTTTTATGACTGGACTCCATGATTGAGAATATAGTGCACTGAGCTCTGTTTAAAAATATGCCATATTTAAATCCATAATATATATGTGTAAAATACATTGCAAATTTTGTGTAGTAATTAAGCGAATAAAAATCATCCCCCTTTCTTATTTGCAGGGTTCTGCATTTTGGGGCTTGACGAATACAAAAGAATCCAAAGAGATCATGCGATTTAAGAAGAGGAAAAAATTCTACAGGATTTTCCTTTTTGTCCTTCTGCTCGTGTTTGTGGGAGGCCTCATTATTATTCCAGGCCATTACTTTACTCGTTACATTTGGCCCTGTCAAATCACCCAGGAGGTGTTTGCTACTCAATGGCTCCCTACCATGAAAACCTTCAACTCCACCATGATGAATCCAGACGGTTTGAGAGAGCTAGAAGCGACCCCTGCGCCACTAATATCACATGAAAATGTAATCTCAGCTTTGGATGGTTTGAACATCAGTTCAAATGAAGAGATGAGAGCAGCGAGGACACTTAAAATCGAGCCTTACGAGTACATCCTCAATGAGCCGAACGCATGTCTCCTGAGAGCACCATTCTTAGTGCTTTTGATTTCAGTTGAGCCTGAGAAAACAGACGCCAGGGACGCCATCAGGAAAACGTGGGGCAATGAAAGTATGGCAGGGGACTTGGGTTTCATCCGTCTGTTCTTCATTGGTGCAAATAACGAAACCCAAAGAAAGGGCAGCGAACTACAGCACACAATAGAGGGTGAAAGTCGACAGTATCACGACATCATCCAGCAAGATTACAGGGATACTTACAAAAACCTTACCCTCAAAACGCTGATGGGGATGTACTGGATCACAAAGTATTGTCCCGAAGCCACATACGTCATGAAGACAGATAGTGACATGTTTGTCAACACCGAGTACCTTGTACAGAAATTCCTCAAGCCCATGGGTCAACTAACACAAAAGTATATCACAGGATATCTCATGGCAGGCTTCTCCCCAAACCGAAACAAGGAGAGTAAATGGTATATGCCCCCTGAAATTTACCGTGGTCGGCGATACCCCACATTTTGTTCAGGAACTGGATACGTCCTCTCAAGTGACATGGCTAAGAGGATATATGTGGTGTCACTGAGCATACCCAGGCTACATTTAGAAGATGTTTATGTGGGTATCTGTCTAGCTAAACTGGGGATAGAGCCAGTGCCACCACCAAGCGATCAGCTGTTTAATCACTGGCGAGTGCCGTACTCCAGCTGCAGGTACAGCAACCTGATCACTTCCCATTGGTTTCACCCCAATGAGCTGATCCAGTACTGGCAACACCTGCAGAGCAACAAACACAATCCCTGCTAGATGACATTGTTAAAGTTGTTCACTTAAAAAAAAAAAAAATTCCTGATAATTTACTCACCCCCAAGTCATCCATGTCATTCTTTCTTCATTCGAAAAGAAATTCAGGTTTTTGATGAAAACATTCCAGGATTTTTCTCCATATAATGGACTTCAATGGGAACCAAACGGTTCAAGGTCCAAAAGACAGTTTCAGTGCAAACTGCATACCGTTCAAAGGGCTTTAAACAATTCCAGATGATGAATAAGGGTCTTATCAAAAGAAACGATCGCTCATTTAAAAAAAAAAAAAAAAAAAGTTTAAGTTTTATAAGCTCAAATGCTCGCCTTGCTCTGTTCTGTGATGCGCATTCGTGACTCCTGTTCGAACTCATTTATCAAAATGAACGAATCTTTGTGTAATTTGGTTCATTCAACGAACAAAATGAACGAGTTGACTCTGGAAAAAGATTCGTTCATTTTGGCAAATGAGTTCGAACAGGAGAGTCACAAACGCGCATCACAGAACAGAGCAAGGCGAGCATTTGAGCTTATAAAACTTAAACTTTGTTTTTTAAATGAGGGATCGTTTTGCTTGATAAGACCCTTATTCATCATCTGGAATTGCCCTTTGAACAGTTTGCACTGAAACTGTCTTTTGGACCGTGAACCGTTTGGTTACCAGTCAAGTCCATTATATGGAGAAAATCCTGGAATGTTTATCAAAAACCTTAATTTCTTTTCGACTGAAGAAAGAATGGCGTGGACATCTTGGATGACATGGGGGTGAGTAAATTATCAGCAAAAGTTTTTTTTTTTAAAGTGAACTACTCCTTTAAATGGACAGATTTCACCATCCTTTTTTGGTGTGTGTGTGTGTGTGTGTGTTTTTTTTTTTGAGTGTGTTTTTTTTGGGTGGTGGGGGGGGGTATCTTGGTTTATCTTCACATGTCTGACTGATTAAATGGGTATAAAAATATGCAGTTGTGTGTTTTGAGCATTAGTTTTTGTGATCAATCTTACTGGACTTTTTTCTGCTTATTTACACTCCTAGAAGAGATTACAGCTATAATGAGGAAAATCAGGTCACCTTTTGGTCCACTTGTGGTCTGCAAGTGCTGCAGTAATCCCTCAACAGACAGCAAAATCTTGACATTCATGTTACAGTTAGTACAGTAAAGAGAGAGAGCGCTTCCATCTCCTGAAACATCAACCTCTACACATACTTCCAGAGTCCTAAGGTCAAATTCAACAACAAGCTTCAATCAAATAGAACTTGCTCAAATTAAACTAAAATCTAACTTGGTAAATGCAGAGGAAGGGACAAAGGTTTTAAAAACTTTGGTAAAAAGTTTGGTGTTATTTTTTGTCAGGTAAAAGTCAACATTTCAGTCTGAAAATGGGCGATATTTAAAATCTACAATATACGTCCAGCGAAATTGAGCAAACAAGTGACAATTTCAAAATAAAGCTGAGCGTAAATAAATTTGTATGGTGTTTGTTTCAGAGATTCAAAACAGCTCATCAGCACACACCCTCGCCGGCTGTTAAACGCCTTCAAACTGCCACCGGCCAATGATGATTACGCAAGATAGGTGTCCTCGGGGGGGAAATCTTTTTAGGTTTATTTCTTCACTCAGTCAGTTGAGGTCAGAACGTGAACACACTGCTGCTTTATAGTAGAAATTCTGATTTCTGAAATTGAAGAACTGACGCATGTTTTTTTTTAGTGTTAATCCTTAAACAGTTTGTAATATTGGCTGCAAGAGTTTAAAATGGGTATTG